AGATGATAAAACAGAATGAGCAAGAATGTTGACCAAAAGATTCACAGTGCCCTCTGATGTAGCCAAACACCATGTCCTTGATCTCTCTTCCACCTTATAGGATTGTTGCTGGAATTCCGTCTGGAACAGCCATGAATAATCACTCCGTTACCATCAGTAATTATTTCTATTTCCAAGCGATTATTTATGGTTCAGTTGAAGGTCACCTCCTCATACATCAACCGCATTGAGAAAAAAAAGCACTGGCTGATTGGCAGATAGAGTAACAAAGGGAAAAGATTTAAGGCCCCATTTTCCAGTTGAGTAGAACTGAAGCCTTAACTGATGAGTGGCTTCTCGCACTCATTACAAACGCAGCCGTAGTCGTATCACTGTCCAGTTGCATTACCGTATATTGCTATCTATAAAAGAACCATCTCCAGGCACCAGTGTCAGGCTGGGTTCCGTACCTGAAACAGCCATTCATCCCATCCAGTTTCCTTTCGCGGAGCACTATCTGCGAAGACTGTTTTCTTTGTCCATGATCTGCAAAGGGTTAATGCACTTCGCCGCTTACTGAGGGATTCAATGGAAACCCTTCACTCTGTGTGGCCTGCTCTCTCTGCAAAGCAATAAATAACAGGCCGCTTTCCCAGATAATGAGTAATTATACTTTTCCATCATGCATCACCAAATTGTACTCGTTCCACACTCTCCATCCAAATTATAGCCATTATTTTAGCTGAGAATTAATCCAAAAGTTAAAATGGATTAGTTAGATTGGCTAGAAAGAGAAAAGGCATAATCCCATCCGCACAAGTGCACGCAAACTCTTCCTCCAGAGCTAGAGGAGGGGAGGGACAATAGGCCCGAGAGACTACTTCTCAAATCGCAGCAGCATGGAAAATAACTCTTTGGGGCCAGATTTCCTCTTATAAGTAAATGATTATTTTAAAAGTAAAGCAGGTTTAAGACATTCACTCTTTAGTTCTGCTACATTTGCAGGCTGTTATGGGTCCATTAATGGAGCTTCTATAAATCGGTGATTATCAATTCAAGGGGGGGCACTCTCTGTGGGAACCTTCGCTTAAGTGCTGTGTAGATTTATTACTGGGTTTAGTTGCAAGGTGATCTCTTTCCCTCAGTTTCAGATAATAATCAGGATAAACAAATCACACTGCAACACCCGCCCCTCGTGGGGTTCTTTTTGGCATAGATTAATTCTGTGTTTAAGAGGATCCTGTTTCAACCTCCAAAGACTCTTGGGGCCAGAGTTTGGCAGTTCTGAAAATGCAGGGAAGGGAATGAATACCTTGTTTATCGAAACCAGGGGCTGGAGGATTGTGTAACTGCTTAACTCAGATATCGGATCACTGTGTCTTCCATATGAAGGTGACTCAGCCTTGTTCCCCCTTTACCAGATGACTTACCATTGGGGCCATCTCAACTTCAGAGAGATCCCTCTTACCTCCCCTTTGCAAGGAGGATATTTACAAGCTGGGCTCCAATCACCAGACAAGCATGGATTTGAGTTCTCACTGGTTGGGTGGCTGACACCAGCATGAGAGGTGGGCGAGCAAAATAGCTGCACATAAACACGTGATTGTAATGCTACAGACTCAAGGTCATGTGCTGTAATCTATTGAACAATTCGACCAGTTGGATGTACAGAGTTTGTGTGGCAAAACACTCCTCACAGTGGGTATAGAATGGCATCAACAAAGACTTAGGAGCAGGTGCCTGCCACAGGGAAAATAAATGACAAAAGGGGGTACAATCCTCTCAAATTCCGAGTGAACCCCAAATATATTTGAAAAGAGAGCCTCTGAATTGCAATCGTGTAATGGGCACATTTCAGGCCGTTTTCCAATGTCACAGGCAGACCTGAGCTTTCCTCAGTGCTGATGATAGCTGTTTGTTTATAATCCCATTGTGTCCTGTAGGAGATTAAAACTGGAGGATTGAACAATGCTATAAAGTCCAGACAAAGACAAACACGGTCGTCTCTCCCTGTGTTTTACGGAAGTTTTGACGCCACACAGATACAGGCAGAAAAATAACAATCTACACTAATGGGTAGTGTGGTGTGGGGGGATGTAAAAGTGGCTGAACTTCATGATGTCTGAAAGAGAGTAATCAGAGCTTCAGGCTGATGGAGAAAACAGGAGTCTGGGGAGCGGGATGATGGAGACATACAGTGAGGAGAAAGCAGCAGGGGGGGATCAGAGGCATGAAGTGGGATGACTGCCAGATCCACAGAAGCATTGAACCAAAGGTTTATATGCCTGGTTTGCAGTGAGCATGCAGTGTGCTGAGGCATTTAGAGGGCTATTTCATTATCTTTATTATAGCCAGCCAGGATGGAGGGTAGGGCAGCCAAAGTAGACAAAGGAAGGGCAGGAAAGCAGGAGGTGTGAGCAGAGGCACGCAGATCACTTCCTTCAGGACAGCGTGAATCCGACCCAAAGTGTTCATTCCAAACTCATCTGCCTGCATCCCCACCTGCCTGAAGCTTTGTACGCCCATTGCCCCCTGCATTCGTCACCCTCCATTGGTTCCCAGGGAATCCATTTCAAGGTCCTCACTCCCATCTAAAACCCCACCCTCTCCACACCTCCTGCTTGACTCCTCTACTTGACAAACATGGACCTGCCAGGTGCTTCTTGCTCCTTAGCTCCACCGTTGGCGACTAAGCCTTCAGTGACTATGCCCCTATCCTCTAACAATCTTCAAAGGTCACCTAAAAACCTATCTCTTCATTTGTACTTATGGTCCACCTCCCACTTCCCTTCTCCGTGACAGCACAATCACTATGGACATTATAGTATGTGAAAGCCGCTGTAGAAATGCAAGATATTGTTATTGCCCTCCTTGGTTTTGAAGGTTACAATGTTTGGAACCTCAGATTGCCTGCAAATTGGTACATTTCTCCTCTTTCTCCTCCCTCCTCCATCTGTAACCGTGAACAGCTTATTGCTCAATTTGTTTTATTTGGCATTGTAATATTTTGGCTCTGCCACGCCCTTCTCTGTACACAGCTCAATTCCATTCCTCTGAAACATTCCTGGGACGATTCATCAGAAGTGACTGTGAGCATTGCTCAGTATTAAAACAAATAATTCACCGTTCGTTTCATCCCTAAAAGTTCGATTGCATTCACCAAAGCTTCAGCAACGAGAACAAAACTCATTCTTCCACCTCCCTTCTGCAGCCTTTATCTACCCCACCCCACCCCCAGGGACTCTGATCTCTTCCATTGCATTTCCTTTCATCCTCCTGGCAGTTCTGATCTCACCATGACCTTTTATCCCTTGCACCCAGCAGATCCAGTCTTTATTGCAGCATTTTCTGCCTTCCCTAGGGAGCCCCGATCTTTGTTGTAGGCTTGTCTGAAATGCCCCCTCCCCCTCCATTCTTTATTACAGCCATTTATCAGCTCCTCTTGGCAGTTTCAAGACTTTAACCCCAGCAGTTTTTTTCACCCTGTTCCTTGCTCTCATTCTTTTCCCTGAAATAGAAAAGACACAATTAGAAAATGAAAGCGCTGGATTGAGAATGACCGACGGAGTCAGGAGGAAAACACAGAGGCAGGGGATGAAAAAAAGTAAAATAAAAAAGACAAGACAAATAGATTGAGAACAAAGACATTTTTGAACTCTAACAACCTTCCAGATTAATTAGTCGTCTGTACACTTTATGGCAATATGTGGGACTTCGCTGAGTGCAAAATGCCGGACTTGTTTACCTGAAAAAACAGTCACTACACAATTACTGTGAAGTGCTTTGAGATGGTTGGACATTATAGATCCTATAAAAACACAAGTTCTTTCTTCACACAACTGCACGCTCCAATGAGGCAGAAACACTGGTGCCTTTTCATGTGCCTGGAAAAGGCATTCCCTGAAGCTTCCACATGGAATAAAGAGAACAGGTCTGCCCAGCAAATTATTATGGTAAAGCTTTACTCCTGGTATATAAGCGTCCTCAGTGAAGTGCTACTTGAGGAAGACAGGATGGGATTTTTCATGAACAACTTTTCATAACAATATAGTATTGTAGAGGTAGAGCTCCAAAGTGCTTTCGCCACACACTGCCTGAGGGCCCTGGTGCTGTGGTAGCTGGTGTGAGACTGGAGATTAAAATAATTTTTCCCGATGGAGTAACACTGATGTTGAGCGGATTCCCAACAAAAGCAGTTGGGAGTCAGTTGGAAAACACTCTGAGACGCTATGAGAGGTGCTATACAAATGGAATTGTTGCTTCATCATTTAACTCCTTTTTAAAAAAATTAAGTTTGCGCTTGTGGATAGTGTTGAACAATATTGGCTCAGGTGCAGAGAGAGAGATGTAGGAATATTCCCCAGTTTGAGACTCAAGAGAACAACAACAAAATTACATTTGTATAGCGTCTTTCATGTCGGGAGGACTTCCCAAGGCGCTGAAGGGGACTAGCGGGGAACTGTCTGGAGCAGAAGGATCCCAGTGTTCACTAGTGGAGGTGTAAGAACAGACAAATATTCTTAAATTTTTGATTGCATTAGCTTTGGGTCCCAGGCAATATGTATCCAGGATATTTCTCCAGTAGAAAGATGGGGAACAGTCAGATGGATCACAATGGTCTTTTCTGGTCCTACATATCCCTGTGTGAAGAATGGATGGGTGGTTAGATCTTGCCCATGACCAGAGAACACAGGTTGGGAAAGTGTGTTGTCAAATGCCAAGATGTTGGCGACCTCAGACTGCGCATTGGGATGCGGATTGAACCAGCCAAAATTGTGTTTACCTGAATGAGGCCCTTGTAAGCTTACATGATGTCCATATGGCACATCCTCCAGGGATGACTCAGCACAGAGCCATCAACTTGCCAGTCACTATGACTTTTGATGCTGCACTAGGCTGTGCCTTGATCCACTGGGCCACCAATAGAAGCAAATCACTTGCTTTTTCTCACAAACCATTGTTAGCTTCTGCTACTTCGGCTTGGCTCAGTTTAATGGCAACTTGACTGATCTTCTTCACAGGTCTCAGTCAGTGGTGGAGCCAGGTGTACTGAAGCACGGAGACAGGGATGATGACAACACTCAGCCTCTACTGGCTCTAGATTGAACAGAAGATTGTCAGAGACCACATGCAAACGCTGCCAACTCCATGACTGGATTTCAGTGGTGGACACATGCTTAAATCAAGTCACATTCAGCTACGTGTTTTTCATTTGTTAAAAAATGGCAAGATTCAGATATCGCCACCAGCCATCAATACTCACAGCTTTCTAGCAGAAGCTGAGTAAAGAACACAATGATTTTTACATGATACCTAAAGGATTTTGTATCTGCTGTAGGAGATCTCGCAGTGAATGTGGCAGCATCACAGATATTTGGTACTTTGCCTATTAATGCGGAACTGATTAGGTCTTGGTAACAGACAGGCATGTAATATTTAGACATATTTGTGCCTTTGCATGCTCCCCAAACAGGAGGGGGAAATTTGTTTTTATATTTCAATATCAGATCGAGGAATTCAAAAAAAATTAAGAAAAGGCAGGTTGAAAAAACACACACGTTTATTAAAGTGCCAAAGATCCTCATAATGATTCCTCTTTTTATTTGCTGTACAAGTGTTAAACTCCATCGATGCATTTTATTTAAATTTAGTAATTAAAGCTAACTTTGCCAACCACAATGCTGTTTGCTTGAATGGGCAAATAAAGAAGAATTACTCAAGTTTGTTTGTGTTTTATTTTAGGAAAACAAATCAAGGTTAGTAGCATGTACAGGATTTTACAAAAGTGTTTGTGCTCATTAATGATTTACAGGTACTGCACACCAACATCTCTCATTGTACCTAGATGTTTACTTGGATTAATAATCATCTAAATCCTTGAATACAAAGACTGTGCTGTTCAAAGCTCTTTAGGATAATTTGATGTGTGGAAAAATGTTTCTAAAACAGAAGCAACTTTTAATTTTGAAAATACTTAAGAGCTAGACCTACAAAGTATTAAAGCCTGTAATAGTTAGTGATGATTTTGGTGCTTTTGTTGTTTTAAATTATGCCTGATTCATACTTTCACAAAAGGTAGGTTATTCCGTTCCTGCTGATAACTAAAAAAAATGTAAAAGAAACACAAGGCATATAACCAAACTGGGTTAATACTCAATGTATTCTTTTCCCACCCCTTTAAATAATGCTGGATCTGGAGAACGCAGGTCTCTACATACAGAACCGTTGGCATCTGAAAATTGTGCTGCTATTGCCTTGAAAGAATCATTTCAGTCAGATTAATGATATCAAAATACGCACAATATTCAGGGCAAATTCACTTTATCCAGTAGCATATAGTAGTTCACTTCAGACTACAATCTAAACTCGTAGCTGAATTGGATGGGATATGGGAAGAATCACAGTGAAGCAGAAAGAATCCATTCACTTACAACGACATTACATTTGTATAGTGCTTTTCATGTCGGGAGGATGTCCCAAGGTGCTGGACAGTCAGTGTTTCGGACCTGAGTTGGGGGTCGGGATCAGGGAGGATGCAGGGCCTGGGGTGGGGGAGGGTGACCGAAGGCACAGTTGAAAAGGAGAGGAGGGTCTTGAAGGAGGTAAGGGAGGGGCCGTGTACTTAGGTTAGGTCGGCTTGATAAAAACAGAGAGGGAAAAGTTTTATTTGAAAAAAATGCAAACTAAAATCAAATACAACAGAATGTAGTCAGTAGACCAAAATACAATCAGTTTTTACCACAACCAGCTAAACTTGGTGACAAATCCCATTCAAAAAATCCCCATTCCAGGAATGGACGTGGGTGAAATGTAATCGGTGAAACAGATTGACAAATTTTTATTAAAAAGTGTAAGACAGCACGAAATACGTGCCAAAAAGAGGGAATAAGGAGAGAAGCCTAATCACCCACTTAGTGGACAGATTACAGTTAATTCTATTTAAATTTTTCTTGAAGGGCAACGGGGAAACGGTGTCCCCAAGGTGTCTGTCAGAGTTCTCTCTCACCACCACGGGAACAACCTTTTTGGATATTTGCAACATACACTCATAGACTTCAATCCTGAAACACGTGGGAAGAATTTTCAAAATGAAAGGCTGGTGGAAAAAACATTTCAAAGCCCATCGTGAAGTCCCGAAGACTTCTAATGCATCAACCAAATGCAGCAGGATTATTGAAGGTTGAGTCCTTATTTGTAGTGTTTGCAATCTTTTCTGGCTAGAAGCAGGTCTGTAATTTTTCTCCTGTAATGTAAAAGCCCTCAAAAGGAGTCAGTAGCTTTAAATCTGTTGACAGACTAAATGCTGTCTTTTGTAATGTTTCTACCTGCCTCATCAGTGTGATCAGAATGGCCTTTCTTTCTCCCCAAACTACAAAGAATCTATCATTCCCTCTTCCCCGACCTTGCCCTGACTTAGTAAACAGAGAGCTAATTAATTCAGTGACAAGGTCACTGGAATGCCAGGCGTTCTGCAGATCTGGCCATTGCAATGGACCTGCTACTGAATCCAGTCCGCCGGAGAGCAGAGGCAAGTTAAAAACAAAACAAAGACACAAAATGGAAAGCTACCACAATAAAATAAGGCTAGGCAGCATTCAATTACATTTGCATCAAAAAGGGCTCCTGTAATACCAGCAGGTAGCTGACAGATAGCAATGAGCCAGATTGAGAGAACTAAAGGCTCCTGCCTCTGTGAGACTAATCCAATTCCTGTGGGTGGCATGAACAGCTTGCAATCAGTAAGTCCACAGAATCCGGCATCTGCAGCATTAGGCTGAGACTCTAATAGAATTGTACTTTATACGACACAAAATGCAGGCTTTGAGTGGCGAATCCAATTCAAATGATAAAATCACAGTATTTCACAGACCTCAATTAGACTAAAGCGCGCTGCCCCCTTTTATAATGTTCCGGTTGTGTGTCCAACAGCCTGCTTACATTAGTGGGCACTGCATTCTCCAGGCTCTCCTTGTGCTCACCTGTTTGTTGGAATCTGTTTAAATGCTTCTACAGCTCTGCTTTGAGGCAGAGCTCCCTTGGGTGTTTCAACGTAGTTCATTTAGTAGCCCCCCGACCCACCACTCTCACCAAAAATTATAATATTTACAATTGGTGTAATAATTTTGAACTGCAGAACATCTGGTCATTCTACTGCAGATGCATTACGGCTGTCACAGGCCATCTGCTTTTCGGCATTTTGCACAGATGTATTGGTTCTGTGTCGGGCGCATGTGCCCGTCTCACTGGCATTTGCTCATTTTTGTAATTGCGGTGTCACATTGACAGAGTTCAACACAAGCATCTGCAACATTAGCATTTCTCGGGACTATAGTTTCGTCTTTTCCACACTTTTAACATGGACTGTCCTACAGTTCAAGGTGGGTAGTTATTGATTTTTTTCATTAAGGGATGCTTATGACAAAACCCAGTCTTATACTGATAAATGTGTTCAATGTTCACAATGCTTTTTGCTTAAACACTGAATGCTCGGGCCACCGCTGGGAATCTGGTTCAGGCAAGTTACTATACCCAGTGTGTGGGAGCTAAATATAAGCATAGATACATCTGTTAACTCAGCCTGGTGCTTCAGTGATCATGTCATTCCAACTCTGCATGTTAATCCATCTTGCTCAAACAGTCAAGCTCAGTAACACAGCAAGTCAGATTCCCACCAGGGTTTACTATTTTTAAAAAACACTATTTAAGAATCTAGAGATATAGGCCAAACAGAAAACTGGTAATTGCGCTCCTTAGTAATTGACTTTGAAAACGGATAGATGAATAGTTCTGGGTGAGAAATTCTTTCCATTTCAGAATGTACCTGGGGTCTCTGTTAATGTTGCTTAGTTCTAGTAAAAGCTTGTAGTCAAGTACATACATGTTGACTAAATGCTAGAAAGCGAAGTACAAATAAAGTTTACAAATGGCCAAACTCCAAGATCAGGTTTGCAATTCCAATAACTGTTAAAGTTTATAAAGAACGACCTTGTAAGCAATGCAACACATTCAGCCCACGAAGCCCACATCTCTCACTTGAACGCAACACCTCTAAGTTGGGCATATTGCTGTGCAAAGCAGAAACTGGACGGAGGCAGCCCAGGGTACACTGTATGGGGTCAGCTATAATGCTAAATACTAGTTTGGTAAGGAAGAGATTTTTCTTCAATAGTTCACTGAATATTTTGCATCTCTGAAACCATTCAATACAGGATGTAGGAAACGTCAACAGACCACGACAGCCTCGCTGTTTTATCCTCGATCGATCTCATTCGGCTCCTGTGTTCTGAAAAGACGACACAGGCCTTTTTGCATCACCTTAACATTTATGTAAAATAAACCTTTTTAAAAATGTTCCAGATTTCTAAAAAAAAATGCTTCAATCAACTCAATTGCTTTTTTTAAAAAAAATCAAACAGTCCCTGAAATTGTCTTCTGTGCCCTAAGGTGTTAAGAAACAAAATGTTCAATGGCACTTGTTACACTTCATAATGTAAAAGACACATCCTTCATACTCCCGCCGCTCTTCTTGTTTCTTCTCCAATCTCCGCCCTGCACATCCTATTTAGATTGGCGAAAGGGTCCGTCGTTGCTGAGGGGTCAGTTCTGGGTGCCACACATCTACGATGAAGATTAGACGATAGCTGTTGGCGTCCTGCCAAACCTCATGTTCGAATGAATCATCAAAGATGACGACTTTCCCCTCCTTCCATTCTCTGCAGAGCAAACAGGACAGCGTCTTGCTGGTTACATCCTACACTAATGTCAAATGTGTGACAATCATTCAACAGGTTTTGCTACATCCTCTAAGAGGTCACAAAGAGTATATGTGGAAATGTTTCCAGCCAAGTTTCTCCCCTGCACTTCTCATGTCGCCCAAAATATATAGTCAATTCACTTTACAGTATATTCTGTGAAGCACTTTGAGACGTCTCAAAGACATGATAAGACGATATATCAAATGCAAGGATTATTATTATCATTATTGTCCCTTGACTTGTTTTTCCCATTGGGTGGTGGGGGAAGGGAGAAAAGAGAGAAAGGAAAAGAGAGCAGTGGGAGGGAGTTCACACTTGTACTCTGTACAGTTCTGTACCACAATATAACTGGTCCACAGAAGCACTGGAGGTAGTGCTTCTGTGGAGAGGAATGAGGCTGATATCCAGTGTTACAAGGATAAAACCAGGAGGAATGATTAGATAGCCACAGTTCTGCAGCGTTCAAGAAGGAAGAAAAAGGAAACGTTTAGAAACTTGAGTTCAGGGCTGTCCAGGGCAAAATTATGACAGGCACCAGGAAGTGTTCCTTTACACAGAAGGTATGTCACCAGGATGGTTGATAGAGGCCAGGACTAATTTATGAAACAATCTGATGCTGTATGGAAGACAGTACAATTGTTATTAACAAACCTTGTATATGACAGTGCTCCAAGATGTTATCTTATGTGAAGGGCACTATATAAATGCAAGTTATTGTTGTTAATGATATAGTTCCTTAATACATCAAACGTCTCAGAGAATTTTACTGGGAATTGTTGTCTGTGTTGCCAAGTGACATCTCTTGAACAATGTAACTGGTTTACCAATGACATTCAGGGCATTGGGATTAATTAAAAGAATTGCCAAAATCGAATAAACTGGTGAGCACACTCAATGGGTTGAATGGCCTCCTATATTGTTATGAATAACTGCAGGAAA